AGTCCATCACTGCAGCGGAAGGAACTAACAACAGGGTGAACGGATGAGAGTTCCGCGCCTCTTATAAAACGAACATCCATTAGAAAGCGTCGTAAGTCTGAAAATGCGATGATCAAATCGATCGTTGAGTTCTGTTTGCTCCACCATTGCCAGTCCCGAGCCCGCATGAGAAAGGAACAGGGTTGGAAACTGTAGCGAGGTCTCCCGTAAAACTTATCCACCTGTTCCACACCGTGTTGCCATTATTGAATTTTATACCGGTTCGGTCGTCGCCCTGGCTAGCAGCAGCCGTACAAACTGTTGGGAAACTGCGGGTGTGCCAAATCTGTGATCCCGCATATAAAGGGCTGAAATGTGGTTTCTGAGACGAATCGCAGGGTTAACTCATGTCGACATGGTCCGGAGTTCCGATATCCGAGACAGCCTCGGCATACAGCCGCTGCGACTCCAGAGTGGAAAGTCACAGCTGCAATGGTTTGGACAAGTCTTGCAAATGCTTCCAGAAAGAAACACAAAACAGCTACTGCTTGTCTACTGATTGACTAAAGATCATACAGACGGCCAAAAATTACCTGGAGCAAGTGACTCTACGGACTCTCCTCCAGACTTAAGATTTCTTCTGCTGACGCTTAAACTTGGCGCAGAACTGGGAACTTTAGGCCACAGTCTGACGCTGCTGCTCCCGCTACTCCAAAGGATAACTCTTCGAAACTGATGGACTGAGTGACAAAATGATAGCGAAGCGGAAAAGCGTTTAATTCGTGTTTGATTCATTTTCATGCTCATTCAGCTGCAGTCCCCAATTTTAGACTGCTTCTTGATTTAAAGTGTGAAGAGGAATCGCAAGTGGCAGAGCAGAGTAGAGCGACTGTTTCTCAGCCAGATAGTGACGAGTTAAAATCCAGACCCTCACTCGTCCGTCATCAACTGTGAAACTACATGTGCATGAGTGCGCAAAACATACCTGCCTCATAGTGTAGACATTTCATCTGTAAAAAAGATGGCATACTATTTCATAATGTCGAAACGGAGAAACGCGCCGCGTTATGAACTCCATCATAAAAGGGATAACAATGTGTTCACCATGGAAATGTGAAGGAGATTCACATCTCAACAGCAAAACAGCTTTCTTTTTAATTACTTCATGCGAATTTGGGTCCATCTGTTTAACAATATAATAGCTTTAGAAATAACACAATATTTAGTCGGACGTTTAGTCTTCAAGTGCAGAAGCCATCATCAAGACTGTTCAAAAGCAATAAATACATTAAAACAGAAGCAGCTACAGAAAAGAAATCAGTTGATATAAAGACTAATCAGTCAATCAAATCAAGCAAATTCACTATTCTGTAACTACCTTCAACAAAGCTCCAACTGCAACGCCCCATGCAGCATCATCCACAGACAAATACGACTTGAAAACCCGAGATCTATTATTGAAGCAGCGTTCATCGATAATGCCATTTTCATGGGGAAGCGAATAATTACACGGCATTGGGAAAGACCCCGTTAAGAAGGTATAAGTGTTAGGGCCACAACGTCGACCAGACGCCGAACTCAACAGATTAATTTAAGTTACCTACCGAATATACTGTAGAACATATATTCAGGTACTGCTACGAGTTGCGTTCATGATCAATATGTGATATACGG